TAACTAAACCAGTCTAATAAACGGGCCGAATAGGTTTTGAAATCCAGTAGTAACACAAGGCAGTTAAGATTTCACACGTGAAGCTTTTTACAAATTCTCAAAAACTGGGCCATCTGAATTTATCGACGGCGTTCTCCACCAGGAGTTCCATAGTTTATTCAACGCCAAACCCTGCCGCTGAATCGCCACCAGTCCTTTCCCCACTTGATCACGACAAAGAAAACACGGTTCCACTCAACCGGCAGAAGCCTGTGACGCTGTAGCTTTCCTGGTTTTGTCAAACTAAATCCCTAATTCGCGGGATTCACAGGAACTGTCTCTGTGGGCCTGCGTCCGCTGCAGACCTCGTGACACCGAGCAGAAGGGCTTTGAGGAAAGGCCATGACTGAGGAGACCTGGCTTGGCCGCTCGGCGAAGCCGACTCGGGCTGTCCGAGGCTGGGGACCCCGGGAGCGGGAGCCGGCCGCAGGCTCTCCCCGGGAGCGGCCGCCAGGGTAAAACAGTGGAAACCCATGCCCAGCGCCCGCCAGCGGGCCAGGCCGCCATCCCCGCTCTGCCCTGCCCAGCGGCTGCGGCGCCAAACACAACCTGGGCGCTTACCGTCGCGAGCCTCTCCTCAGCCATCTTGGCTCCGCCCACCGCGGCGCGAACGGAAGTCGGCGTTTCCCAGACGACGAGGCAAACGGAAGTCGTGAGACCGAGGCTGACGCGTCGGGGCTTCAGCGGGAAAGACAGGGTTGTAGGTTTCCTGCGACGGCGGAGAAAACCAAGCTCGCAGTCCGCCCCTCCAGCAGGCGTGGCTCGGAAAGGAGTCAATGGGGGAAATGCACGGCTAGTGTTTCTCTTTCTTCGGCGTAGCCCACCCCGAGGGCGGGACGCTGCAAGGGAAGCCGGGAGCGCGCGGTGGGCGTGGCCAGACTCTCCCTCCCAGTGTCCGCCCCGCCCGGCTCCGGTTCCGGCTCCGCCCGGCAGGGGCATGACATCCACTCCGGGATTGCCGGCTCCCAATCCCAACCCGCGCGGTGGGCGTGGCCAGACTCTCCCTCCCCGTGTCCGCCCCGCCCGGCTCCGGCTCCGGCTCCGGCTCCGCTCAGCAGAGCCTTCACACCCGCTCCGGGATTTCCGGCTCCCAGAGGTTTTTACCGTACTTCCCACCCCTTTTCTTGGCTGTCACTATCCAACTGGTACCCGGTATCCTCGGCGTCCCACTCGTGTCCACGCCATTTCGTAAAGCCACGCCGTTTGAGCCACAGGCTGGTTTTGTTTGGGATATCTTAAAATCTTGAGATTTCGTCAGAACCCCGGAAACCCGTTTTCGGGACAAACAGGCGACAATAGGCCTGCGATAAAATGAGGAATAGTGGCTGCGACTTTAAGCGTATATTCGCCATTTTGGCACGGTCCTCACTTCCCAGCCATTTTCTGTTTTATCTATCGGCCCCGGGGATGGGGAATGGAATTGCTCCATTTCGTGAATGAGGGAAAAACGTGGGCTTTGGAGACAAACACGAGTTTTGACCCAGACTACTGTGTGTCCTGCTTGCTTAGTGGTTATGCATTGGGCTGCTAGCTGCAAGGTCAGCGGTTCAAAGCCACCAGCCACTCCCCAGAAGACAGTGGAGGCTTTCTACTCCCATAAAGAGTTTAAGTCTTGGAAATACAGGGGCAGTTTCTACCTTGTCCTGTAGAATCGGTTTGAATTGAAATCAACTCAATGGCAGTGAGTGTACACTGTGTGATCTGAGCCAATTTTAGACTGACCCTTACTCATTCAACAAGTTCCAGAACTATTCGATAAACAAACAACAAAAAATCTGCACTTGAGGACTAACCTTAGGGTAGGGGTGAGGAAATTCATAACAAAGTTATGAATAAGCTATTCACTAACTAAATACAAATGAATAAAAAATATGAAATACTTTCTCATGGAAGAAAACATGCAAATTAAAGTTTCTATGAGATACCACTTTCCACCTCTTCTGTTGGCAAAGAAGCAAAATTGTCAATGATCAAGTTGTGAGGAAATGTGCATTCTTCATCCGGGGCTACTTGGAATATGAATTGCTATAACTTCTGCGCAGAGCAATTTGGCAATAATTACCAAAATTTTAAGTGCACATAAGCTTGAACAAAGTCAGTTCAAGGATTTTATTCCATATGAATTAATGGGGGAAATGACTTACATGAAAGTTATTCAGTGCGGCATTGTTTTAACAGCCAAAGCATGAACACGCAAAAACTAAAATCACTACCATCCAGACAATTCCAACACATAGTGACCTACAGGACAGGGTAGAATTGCCCCACTGTGTTTTCTGAGAATGGGAATAGAAAGCCTCGTCTTTCTCCCATGGAGTGGCTGGTAGTTTGGAACTGCTGACCTTACGGTTAACAGCCCAATGCAGAACACACTACCCACCTGAAACCAATGTAAATGCCCAACAGTGGGTAGTGGGGGAGAAGAGTGTAAATTATGGTTAAGTCCATGCTATGAAATATAGTGCAAATGTAAAAGAAAAGCATCTATTAATGTACTAAAATAGAAGGATCATACTATTAACTGCAAAAAAATTAATATAGCAACTATATTAATAAAAAGTAAAAAGATATTGTCTACAAAATAGCTTGTGTACTTGAAAAGCATCTCTGGTAATGTACTCAACAGCAGGAGGACAGGAGAGGGAAAACCACTTTTTACTCTATCCATTTGGTAAAATGTTGAGTGTTTTACCTTATGAATTATTACCTTTTCAGTAATAGTTTATTGTGAAAAGTATAACATAAATCCTAAGAGGGAGAAATAGAGAGTAGTAAGAACAACTAACAGGGAGTTCCAATCTAGACCTGTTTGGACAGGAAATTTTTCCCTGAGTGATCTTAACAATGAAACTGAAAGCTCAAGGCACAAACTCGTGCAAAGGCCCTGAGAGTGGGAGTGTTTGGCCTGTGTGAAATACTTGTACAGAAAGACAAGTATGGCTGGACAAGAGAAATGGGGAAGAGAGCTGCTTGTTAAAGATAGAGTCTAGTAGTACACACTAAAGCCATGCCAGAGATTTGATTCTAAGGGCAGTGGGAAAGCACTAGAAGTTTTAAGCAAGGGATATGTTGTAGGTAGATGATATGAAAGTGTAGGGAGGACTCCAACTGGTTGATCAGGCCACAGCCTGATGATGCCTCCTTGGGAGTGTGGCCTTATAAGGAGGACCCTCGGAACCTTCCTCTCGCTCTACTTCTCCACCTTCCTACTTGCTGGTCCTCTGCTGCCAACACTGAGAGCTGCTGCCACCCTACCATGCTTCCATTGACTGGGTCCATCCGACCACGCTGCACCCACCAGCCTGGGATATTCCTGCCTCCAGTTCATCCTTCTGAGTCATTAACATGTGGCTACGTGAGTCTGAAGAGGGACTTAAAGACTAGCATCAGATTTACGAACTGGGATGCTGTCTTGATACATAATTATTGTTATAAAGCTTTCTTATACATACACGAGCTAGCAAGTGGAGAATGAATTGGAAGGAAACGAGACTAATCTAGGTGATAGTAGATCAAAGTATGCTGTAAAAGAGACGCTAGTAAAACAGTTCCCTTAGACTAAAATTATGGATAAAAAAATTAATGGACTTTAAAGGCATTTAGGAGTCAGAACAAACATGAATGATGGGTAATGAAATGGGGTTGGGGGTGCAGTAACAAAAAGATAGGCAGGTTTTTAATTTAAGCTTCTGGTGAATGGTTTGGCCAATTACTGAGATGGAAAGCCTGAGGAAAGTAGCAGATGTTGGTGGAAAGCTCTCAACCCTGCTTCTAAATATATAAAATCTTCCTGAAAGGGGCCCTTTAAGAAATAAGTGGTATTCGTTAGGTCCATGTTATTTTCCAGGAAATAGAAGCTGTCATTATTATTATATGACTTTAAATCTCTTCTTTGATCACCAAGTCTTTGGAGGAAGACAGCGAACTTTATATTCAAGGCTTTTTTTCATAAGAAAGTGCATTGGTTTCTCAAATTGTAATCACCAATCTAAAGGTGCTTTCTTTACGCAAATACATAGAAAAAAATCTTATTCTAACCTGTTATCTTTGCAGGAAAATCTCAGAAACCACATAAAGAATGTTATTTGGATAGACATGCGCTTTCGTGTCCCTTAGGAAAATGCGCTGGTCATCAGGATTGGTCCAGTCAGAAAGCCAGGCAAGGCATTCAAAACAAAATGGCACCTAGCATTTCCCCCAAGATAAGGGGTGAGGACGAAGGGAGAAATCAGACATCAGTAACTTTTTAACATCCCCTATGTAGATTGAGTCTTGGTCGTGTAATGGTTATGTGTTGGGCGCATACCACATGGTCAGCAGTTTAAAACCACCAGCTGCTCCACAGGATAAAGACAGGGCTTTCTAATCATGTAAAGCATTATCATCTTGGAAACCCACAGGGGTAGTGCTACCTTGTCCTATAGGGTTGAGAATCAGAATTAGATGGTTTTCTGTTCTATGAAGATTTACAGCCTCAGAAACCCTAAATAGGGTTGCTATGAGTCAGAATTGACTTGATGATAGTGGGTTGTTTTGGTTTTTTATATGTACATAAAGAAGGAGCTGTAGTTGAGTTCATAGATTTAAAAATCTTAATATGTCACATTTTTGCTAAGATTTAACAGATTTGTTCTGATACCACTTGCAAGACAATTCTTTAGCACCTTCTGCCTCATTTGAAATGCCGTCCCCACCAATCCCACACCACCAAGTTTTAAGAGCCCAGCCAGTGTTATTTAAAATATTCCTTTAAAGCAGTGTTCCTCAACCTTCCTAATGCCGCGACCCTTTAATACAGTTCCTCATATTGTGGTGACCCCCCAACCATAAAATTATTTTCATTGCTACTTCGTAACTGTAATTTTGCTACTGTTAGGAATCAACAACCCCTGTGAAAGGGGTCGCGACCCACAGGTTGAGAACCACTGTAGGAATCAACATCCCCTGCGAAAGGGGTCGCGACCCACGGGTTGAGAACCACTGCTTTAAAGTAATGACTCCTCAAAGGCCTTCCTGTAGCATTTCTAACACACCTGTGGTAGTTACATAATTCAACTTGAAGATATATAATTGTAGGGGTGGAATTTAGCCTGTCAATTAGGTCACAACCTGATGGTGATGTCTTGTGGGCGTGGCCTTCTCATAAGGAGGGTCCTGGTAACTTCACCAGCTCTCTCTTCCGCTTTCGCCTCCTTGCGCCCCTGGTTGCTGCAAGCCCTGTGATGGCAGCCACTGCCATTGGATCCACACCAGTCTGTGATCTTGCATTCTACATCACTGCATGTGGCTGCGTGAATCTGAAGAGGGACTTACGGACTTGATATGGTTGGGCTGGGATGTTTGCTGATATCTAATTACTTCTTGATATAAAACTCTGTCTTACAGATATATTGAGTGTCACTCAATTTCTTTCCCTATAGTCAACCCGGCATAACACATTACCCATTTGTGATACTACAGATATGCATAATGGTGCTGTGGGCATATACTGCATTTATGAGAAAATACTGGGAACAATGCAAACGTCCATTATGAAGGACTGTTTAAAAAACCAAGTATATTCATACTAGGGCATAGTATATAGACTGTAAAATAAGGGAAAATATTTAAGTATGTTTTTGTCAACACAATCTTTAGAATAAATCAAAATCAAAAGTAGCGATGATACTTGTCTCTGTGGAAGGGGTCTGAGAGATTCGGCCTCAGGAGGGAGGCAATCTGCTCTTTATTGTGTACTATTCGAAAAATTTAGAGTTTGTAATACCCATA